ATATTAATAAAATCCAAAGAGTTTACGGTTACAACAAAATACCGGGAAAAAATCACCTATCTTTAAATCGTCTTAAATCATAACAAACCCCTACCTAGACGCTTGTTATGTTTTCACGATAATACAGGCAACCAGGTAATCTAGTAATGGCTTATTTAGGGTTGGTTTCGCTGAAATCTCCAGATTGCAGCGGGTTTTTTAAAAAGCTTTGTTTAAGTTTCACTTTCCTGACTTGGAAACTTTGAGGAAAACCATCGCAGGATTTTATTAAAGGCCGGTTGGGTCCTTTTTCTGATGTGGTTTCAGCAGACGCCGATTGCAGCATCGATAGGGGTAATATCGATTTTTTTGACAAATTGACATAGATCTGACCATCTGACGCTCCCATTCCCTGTGTCGATAATTAGAATAAATAGGATAATTTTTTAATAGACCTGACCCTGATCTCTTGGAGCTTTGACTGGGAGCAATCACATCTACAATGGATAAAAATAAATTAGAGCTCACAGTGAAAACGAGCCCTGAAGTCGCCAATGCCACTTATAAGCCGATCCCAGAAAAGGAGATTGAAGGTGAGAATCACACATTTCCACTAAAGTAGAATTTTAAGTGATTTAGCTTAAACCAGATAAGCAGGGATTTACATGAATTCCTTATAACTTCGTCAGAATTTCAGGTTATGAGAGTTGTTTAGTACACTTTTGCTTGTTGAATCATTATTCTTTATTCTCAGCCCAAAACCCGATTCTGTTTCCGGCTTCATCCCATTGCTCTTCAATTTCAATCTGTAGTACTTACGTTTTTATATAAAAAGAAGGAAAGCGTTAGCCCTATGAGTAGGGCAAGCATTGATATGTTTCCTATGCTTTACACCACCTGCTTGCCCCATTGTCCTAAATCCGCCCCTTGTATGATCTGCTGAAATTGTCTTCCGAACCAGTTCTGATCAGGAGATGAACCCTCCTGTAATTTTTGCAACATTATGTACCAAATATCTTTGAGGCACGACTTCTTGACACCAACGATATCTGATGCTGATCAGGCGCATAGAATAAGGGATGACTAAATCGAAGAACATCCCCCCAGAAAAAGAAAATAATTATAAAATAAATGTATAAACAAGTTCTTTACAAAGATGTTTCTTTAATTTTCTTAAATTAGTTATTGACATACACTTATGAAACCCGTTAGGAAACATTTTATGGTAGCAGAGTTGCCTTAATGTTCTCATAAACTATAACTATAAATCCGTTAAATGTTACTTAAGTGAAAGATAACATTGTTAGTGGTGGTAAACTAAACAATTTCAATTTTAATGGTCCGTCGCGCCACTCTTAACATTTATCGAAGAATTTATCAACGAAAGCAAACAGAGAAAATTGCAGTAGATGCATTCTCAAACCCGTTTCAAGTCCCTACATCGGTAGTCTTTTTCGTTTTGCAGAACAAGCGCTTTCGCGACCCACATCGCTCATCAAGGTAAAAGCCAGCCCACAGGTGGATGGTGCCGATGAGAAGATGCTGCCCGCAGATGAAGAAGTCATACCTGAAGTGGTAATTTTCAATAATGATGGGAAAAGTCCTCAGAATGGAGACACAAAAATGGACTTTGGTAAGTGACCTTATTAAAAGCCAGTTTTTTTATTTTATTTATTAAAGTTCTGAAAATAACTAAAGTAACTTCAGAAAAATAATTCAACTGATCTGCTGTTTTCGAATCTTAAATCTGAATCAAAACCGTTTGTCCATCTCGAATTGAAACAAAAACTTTATAAAAACCAACAGCTTCATAAAATTACACATAAAAAACCTAGACAGTAATTTGGACATCCTGTTCCTGTGTCCTCCAAATTGCAGAAGACCCCAAACCGGCGTTTGTGGGCTTGACCAAGGAGGAGCTGATGCTATATGCGGATGACCCCTTCTGGGTACGCTTGAGATTGTTCCTGTTCCTTGCCTTCTGGTTTCTATGGGTTGCTATGCTAGTTGGGGCCGTTCTGATTATTTATGCTGCCCCCAAATGCGACCCTCCACCGCCTAGGACTTGGTAAGTTTTCCCCATCAGTTTAGTTCGCGAAAAATTAAATGCCTTGTGCAGGTACCAACAAGGCCCCCTCACTCAACTGCCTGCTGATACGAAACCGGAAAATTTGAAGCTGGATGACAATATCCGAGGCGCGATAGTGCAATGGAATGCGGATGCCTATGAGCCTTTGGAGAATAATCCCCAAGGATTGGCTTTAATTGCAACTGCGACCAAGTATGGAGCCGATGTGATTGTTCAGGTTGAACCTGCTATCTCCAATGTGTGGTTCGAGAAGTCTGAAAAATCAGACCCGGAGTTCGATAATTACTACATTTGGCGAAATGGCAACATGCAGACTACTGATAGCAGTGTTTCGCCTCCTAATAACTGGGTAATTAAACGATCGAATCCCTTTTATGTGAAAATTTTATATATTTTTTCAGGTGAGTCCGAACAACGTATCGTCCTGGAAATATTCGGACACTAGGCGTGAGTACTACTACGCACCATTCAACAAGCCGCATCTAAATTTTCGCAACAAAGTGGTGATTGAGCAGTTTTCCAAAGTAATTGAAAAGTTCTTCGCCCTTGCTAATGTGAAGGGAATCAGCCTGCGCAATGCTGCTTTTCTGCTGGTGGATTCCGCCTTCCAAAACGAGGAAGTCAACAGCAACTTGGACCCAGACTTAACGCTGACCCAATATGCATTTTTCAAGCATTCCAAAACGGAAAACTTGCCGCAATTGGGATCTTTGTTGCAGCAGTGGAAGGACGTGATTAAAAATAAGACCCGCACAGGGTTGCTGATGGTTGCGGAAGATCTTAGCAAAGTGGAATCCTACAAAGTGAATGGTACTCTTGTGGTGGACATGCCTTTGCAGAGCCACATTTTTTCGAAGGCCAATATATCAGTCAACGAGACTGCTACCAGTCTGAACTACACGTTTAATATTAACGCCATCGAGTGGCCTTTATGGGAGGTAAGAAAATCGGTTACCCACATGTACGCTAGGTTTCTAAAAATTGCGTGTTTTTCAGGCAAAAACCAGCGCTGTTCCAAAGGACGTTTTAGATATTATAACTTATCTGTTGCCAGGCGCCCCCTTGATTAACAGAACTGATGTACCCGCCCCAGTTTTGCTGAAAATCAGACACAGCCCTTCTATCATGAGAGGAATATGCGGAGTGTATAGTTTAAGCAACAATACCATTCTAGCTTTCTTACGGTATGTATTTGAAATTTTCTGATTTTCTCTATTAACAATAACTTTTTATCCATGTTTTGCTGCTTATGGATGTAGGCAAAGGTAAGCGTTGCTTGCCAAAATATTTAGCTATTATAATAACAATCGTAATAGAACGAATTTGTTCACTTAACTCAGGGTGACGCCTGGGAGTCCTGGAATATTGGTAGCAGTGAATCCAACTGATTCAACGCAAATCGCCAATTTCCCAGAAGAAATTCCCCTGTTGACCAATCTTCAAGATGTCACGGTTCGTTACTACAGCCACAGCTATAATGAAACGACTTTCAAAGATGTGGGGTAAGCCGATTGTTCTTGATTTATTTGCGGCGTATTTTATTCACGTTTTATTCCAGAGCTAAAAGAGGAGCCTCAGCGGTGCCAGTAACTGGGAAATCAGCGATTGTGTTGGAGTATGTGCCAAAGAAGGAGGAGTAAGTGCGTTCGCTGTTACGTTAAGCGATTCTAATTTAATAAGAAACTCGGCCAGAACTTTGCAAAAAATTTCTAATTTCCTGTTAGGTCGTTAGCCTTAGTAGCAACTTACTAATAATCCTGCAACTTTAGAAGTAAGTGTTTCAATTGCCGCGCCTCATAGCTCACAGTTTCTTTTCCATTTGGAACGTCATTCTCTTCGGATATTGTCGGATATGCGACAGTCCGCACTGATTTTCCATGTACTAAAAAATATGTTTTTTAGTTAGGTCAAATTTTCCTCAGTTACTAATGGGCGTGCTCACTTTCGCAACTTTCCAAAAACTGAATTGATTCTTGTATAATCGAATCCCGTAAAACAATCATATGTTTTGCCATGTTCTCAATTAAGCTTAGAAAACACCGTTTGGTGTAGAACCATGTATCAGTACCCAGCTTTTTATTGTATGGTTCCAAAGACTTCATAACGCGTGATATACCGAATTCGTAGTTGCCTTTGGAACAGTACAAAGTGCTGTAATAATGTTGTTAATCAATAGCTCGACTAGTGGTTCACATTTTACTAACCCTATAACAAGATTTATTATGCAATGATGAAAGTATTTTTTGTCTGGTTCCTCAAACGACATCTGATCCTCTTCCTTCTCAATTTTCCTCATTAGTTCCTCAGCTTCTTCGTTTTGCGACGTCATTATGTACGAGACGCATAAATTGGCCAAAACTATGGCGTTTACATTCAGCAGCTGAAAATTTTAAATTAATTGAACATGTTGCAACTTAATTAGGCTTCTACTTCTGAATGGTTCTTCTTTACTAATGGCTCATAGAACCCTGTAGCTTCTTTGAACTTGTTCTCTTGCATGAAAAGCACATGGGCAACGTTGAGTCTCCATGTATCGTGCTCGTTGCAAAACTCTGCGCTTTTCCGGAAGATTTTCTCCACCTGAGGATAGTTTTCCAAGTCCCAGTAGATTTTTGCTTGGGCCATCAAGACAGGGATATATCTAGAATGGATTCTCTAGAATTGATGTAGATGCAAAATTGGCGCGAGCACCTTTCGAGACAATCTTCGTACTCCATGATTGCCTTTTTAACCACTTCAATATCGCCTCGATTTCGATGTTCCTGTACTTGTTTCGCCAACTTTCTCAGCTGCTCAGTGTGTCTGCTTGCCAGCTCGTCAAACTTCTGATAGGCCTCACTAGGCGATGTTTGTTGAGTGATAATTCCATCGAGAAAATCATACAAATACTGAAAAAGCGCATTAAAAGCGTGTCTTTGCAGTTAAACTGTTGCTAACCGGGGTGAGGTACTTGTAAGTTAAATGGGCGTTTTCAGCTAGAATATCAGCCGCTAGATCGTAGCATTCGTGCTGGCAGTAGAGCAGCAACAAGTTGGCAAATGTTTCCGGAGGAAATGGGTTTTGTTGCAGTAAAAACTGCAGTTTTTCAAAGCCTTCCGTCGGGTTTTGGTCGAAATTCACCAGGGCCTGATTGTGGAGAGTGACTGCGTCTAATTCATATTCCGCCCTTGGTGGCATGTCCGTAAGAGCCTCCCGCGCTGCTTCAACTGAAAAGTCCACTTTTAATTCAAGCCACGCGCTACGGATTAAGTTTGTACTTACGATTTTTCAGCTGGAATTCGATTGCAGCTTTCAGATTGAAGGCTTCGGTTAGCGAAGTTTCATGCAGTGTTAAGGTGTTTCCAACCGAGCGAACTTCGATTCCTTCGGTTTGCATTCCGATGCTTAACTCCGGATGATCTCGAATGCCTTTTTCAATTATATCAGCTAAAAACCACTGAGTAGATTCCATCGTATGATTCTTGTTCAGTATTACCGCAAAACTTCAGAGATGGTCCGTAATCCTTCAGCTTGTAGTAACACAAGGCTATATTATAGGCCAGGTAAGGCTTGAAGCCTTGGTTCTGTAAAGCGGTCGTAAATTTTGCCAGAGCTTCTTCATAGTTGCCATCCTTAGATTGTTCAAATGCTATTGGTGAATGAGTTAAAAGCCCAATAAAAAGCTTACCTTATAAAGCAAGCAAGCCAAATTGACTTCTTTGTCAGGATCTTCTGACGAGCAGGAATCCACCAAGTTTCTCACTGATAAAACGTCGTCCTGGCTGTATTTTATGGCGGCTTGTAGCTTCATTATTTGGGATTTGTATTCAGGGTTGTCGACTATTTTATTTGAGGCCTAGATAAACTGTTTGCAATCAAGGAACTTTCAAATTGCAATTAAGTACCTGAAAGGCCTGATCATACAAGCAAGCTTGGTACAGTGACTGTGCATAATACAACTTGTAATCGTCATTATCAGGATATATTTCTGTTAGTTGTTCGTAGTAGCTTGAGGCATTGTTAAAGTCTTGGATGTAAAAGTAGCAATAAGCTAAAAGCGATAATCCAGCCCTGCTGCAGTTGGACTCGGGAATTCCGTGAAGGACTTTAATTGCGTCGCTGAACCGATTCTCCTTTATCTAAATGTTTTTTTGCGCAATAAATTAGAGGTTCTCTTGTTAATGATTAACTCACCAAGGTGTAAATGGTTTTGGTGAAATCACCGTCGTTGATCACATGAGCCGCGTACATTTTTCTAAATCTTTCTTGAACGATAAACAGCAAAAAATGCTGTTAATCAATTTTTTTAATTATCGAAATTTAACAATGTTGACTTTGACGCTTCCATGCCCCAACTGCGTTGTTGAGGAGTTTGTTTGTATTCATAGAAAATCGATACACTGGGAAAGGTATTAAATAAGCATGAATAGAAACACATACAAACACTGGAACAATTTAATAATTTTTCATACAAAATTCAAATATAATATGTATAACATTCACCGAATTCCAATTCATTGAAAGCCACCTTCTATTCAGATCTAAAGCAAGCAAACATCTATATAATCTTGCGTTACTCGATATATTAGAGATTCTTTAAATGTAAATTGTATGTTTCGGCTGCACAGAAACATCCCAGGTAGTCTTATCAAATACCTTGCATTTGCACTACATCATTCATAAAAACCTAAAAAAAATATCTACATATATATTGCAAAATACGATTAAAAACATAGGTATAGAAAATCTAAAATCGTGATAAAAGTACAGCCCAATGTATTGCTTTATCACACTTGTTAATTGATAATCTCCGATCGGCTTAAGCGACTATGGCACTTGATGGAGTTTGATTCAAGCCGCAAGTTCCATCGCCTCGAAATACGCGATAGTAGCCCTGCTCACCCCAAGATGGTCCCCAGGAGTTCTTAACAATCCAGTAGGGGATGGTTCGATTAAATAAGGCGTAAGCTACAGATGAAAAAATATTCGTTAAAACTCAAATTCAACAGTGCAAACTACTATTAGATCATCTTCGGATGTTTTTGAAACACTATATCGCAATCTATGTTGGCAAAATATTTATGAAACTCCGTCAAGTATTGCAATAATCACAGAACTAATTGAAAAGGTCATTTCAACGTTGAGTTTATCGACTTTTTTCAGCTTATTTAATTAATGGCAATGAGATAAAACTCGATATCTTAGGCTCCAATTCTTGATAGATCAGATTTAGATAGCTTATTTTGCACTTACAATGCACCCCATATCCGACAATTAAAACGCCATGATCCAACGAATTGGGGCTGCAAAGCGACGCCCAGGGATGCGAAATCCCGCCAAAGTAAAACTGCATGGCATTGGCGTTGATGGCGATGGAAATCGGTCCATTCTGCACCAACCATTTGGCCATGTCCGTTTCATTTTGACTGATATTTAAGGCTCCGGTAACTTGCACCTTGACTTTGCCTTTGTTGAAGATGCAGGTCTCATCTGCACCCTCATACGGGTAGTCGGATTCGCTTTCCAAGCCGCCCATTTTTTCAATTACCCTTTAAACAACAATTCGGAAATAAAGAAGGCGAGTATGTTAAAGCTTCAAACCTGTAAGCGGTGTCCATCAGTCCTCCATTACATCCTTGGTCCTCCTTATCGCAATCAACCAGCTCTTGTTCAGAGAATTCTAGTAGAGCGCCATGCTTTAGCGCGTATTGTCCTTCAATGTTCCCAGTTACACTGAAAGCCCAACAGCTACCGCATAAGCCCTGGTTTTTCACTTCAGTAACAGCACCTACACATTTAAAAAAATATATTTTGCAGGAAAATACTTAAAAGTAGAATCGTACCTTTGGCGCGCCAATCGAAATCCGTCGGTAATTCAATGTCTGGAATATTTGCCCGAGCGAATGGTAATTCGTTCTCGTTTCTCAATTCTGGCCGGTAGCCGTGTAGCTTTGAAAATTCTGCTTCAGTTAAATCTGCGAATTGTGTGATTCCGTATCGGGCGGTTCCTCTTTCGTACTTATTTAGAAGGTCTATCCTATTCAAGTTGTCCCTGAATACCTAAAAGTCGAGTGAAAATCTAGCGGTTAACTTACCGTCGAATGAATATTTGACCTACCTTTAAACGAAAGTTGAATTCGATTCGATGTTTGTACTGTTTATTGTACTTGTTCATAAATTGCAAGAAACCATTCTTCAACGCATCGGCGTGAGTTGATTTGCCATGCACTCTCTCTGCAGGTGATTCTGAAATGTCACAAAATTACCGCTTTGGGATTAATTAATAGACAACACTTACCAAAATGTTCATCACTAATAGCTCTTCTTGAGCGAAATACTTGCGTGTCTTCGTTATCGCATGTGACTCCAATTTGGGTGAAATTAATCCAGGGTTGTTCCCAGATTCTAAAGGAACACACTTTACTCTTACTGCCTTGCAACTTGGTACAATCCTTGGCCTCTGTATTAGATTTCGGGCAATTGGATTCGGTGATTTGCGCCTTAATAGTCACAAACCAACCAGCAACCAGTTGCTTGGTAGAGCGCAGAATTTTCTCTGAAATGTAGCGATTGTTGCTGGTCGAACTGGAGTCCAAATGACTGAGACCTTTAGTTAAGTAGTGGTCAATTTCAGACGGGTCCAGATCAGACGGACCTAAACATTCGGGCATTTTAAACTTTTCAATTCGACCACAGGTTTCCTACTTTACTTACATCCAGGACAATTTCGTCTCACTCGATCGTGATTGCCGAAATTATACACCTTATCGTTGCACGTAACTACGAAGTAAGTCTTCTTCACCCAGGGCTGTTCCGTGAAGTCAATCGTACAAGTTTCAGGCACTGTTCCGTTTAGCAGATCGCAGGTGTCGCCCAATTTGTTCTCTGTTTTCTTGCAACTAGTCAGGCCAATTTTCGCCGTTACTACGTATCTGATACCGGCCACCACTTGGCTTGTTACGGAAACTATCTGGAATTCGATAGATTAATTAGATTAGATAAATCGTTTGAAAATGTAATTGATTATGCACCTCAGTGGTTTTGCGCTTATTTGGGTGATCAGATGCAGCATCCAGTTTGTCTAAGGTTTTTTTAATAATTGCCTTTACTTCGGGATCATCGGCAGGTACATCTGCAGGAGCGCCGACGATTTGCCGTCTGTACCGGCTATAGTTAGTGCGATTTCTATCATTTTCATCTTTCTTGATATTTTGGCATTGCGATTTCACAACTTTCGGATTGGAATAGTCGTCGTCCACATGCACCTGCACTTTGCAAATCTTCGTCAAGTTCGTAAAAAGCTTGTCTTTGCAGTTGTCATTATGCTCGTTCTCGTTGCATTGCGAGATACCCAAGCGCAGAATTATCTGATAGTAAATACCGTCAAGTTTCAGTTTTTTTGCGCCCAGAATCTGCAAAATCACCCTCTTGTGGTGATCGTCGTCGATGTAGTCCATTGATGTAGCTGCAAAGTCCGCTAATCCCCTAACAATGATCTAAAACGCATGAAGAGGTTTGTTTTTTTTTTTATTAGTAGTAGTAGTAATTACACCAACCTTTTCCTCGGGAAGAATCTTTTCTAGTTGGCCAATGGATCGTCTCTGTCTGGTTGGCCCAATTTTTTCTTTCGACTCCGTTGATGAGGATGCGGATTCTCCGGTTGAGTCTCTGTTTGCATCCCTCTGAACCCTATCTTTTGCTTCAGTTGCTTCGGCTTTCCTGGCGGCTCCTTCAGATGAATCCTTGGAGTCTGAGTCGCTTTCACTGCTGTCCGTTGTCGTTCTCTTGGGTCTGTTTGACTCCTCAGATGAATCTTTGGAGTGTGACAAGCTTTCGCTGGTGTCGTCCACGTTTCTTCTAGTTTTAACGGTAACACCCTCATCGAGCTGCTTTAAAGTGGATGATTCCGTTGGCTGTTTCTTTTCTTCAGACGAGTCGCTTTTCGATTCATTGGATTCTTCGAATGAACTGTCGTCCTTTGCGTTTCTTTTGAATTGATGGTCCGTTTTCTCCAGCCAGTACCAGTTAGGGTTCGGAATGGATTCAATAGCCTTGGTGGGCGACAGAAAATCGATTTGAGGAATGGTCGCATATGCATCTTGTTCCTGCTCTTCGTCAATTGGCAACGACTCGTACAGCGTTCGTAAAGGTTCTACTTTTAAGCTTTGGAGGTCTGTGGAGGTTGACAAGGGTTCATCCACTATGGAAAAGCTATTTTAGATTTTATTTCACAAAAGCCTTTAGCTTTATTACCTTTAGAATAGACTGTTTGATCCTGAGGCGTTGCATAACTCTTCGGCCGGTTCTCTTTAATGCCAACATCGAGTAAAATTTGCGATTCTATATCAGCCAAATGTTCTGGATCTATCAGCGCCTCCATATTGCCGGTTTGGGCGATTGCATCAAAATTGTGGCCCGCTGTGGGTTTCTGAACGACGTCCGGTTTGGAAATATCTAAATCTGAAAAATCCATCTAAAAAGCGCCTGTCAATGCATGGAAAGGTCCCACCTTTGTGTGGAATGATTTCGTTGCTCTCATCGTTTTTTCTATTTGACGAATGGTTGAAGCATTCGAATTCCTGCGACAAGGTGCAGTTGTTTTCAATAATGTGTTTGTTCTTGCTGATCCAGGGTTGCTCGATAAACGAGACTTTACACACGATGGGATCGATGCTTTCGTCCAGAGCACATAGAGCCGATACATCAGCATCTTTCGAGCAGGTTGTCTGGGCGACATCCGCAAGCAGGATGTACTTAATTCCTGCTACCACCTGAAGCCCCACATCAATCAGATATATTGTAATCTATCGTCTATCGTAGAAAACCTACCTGCTGCTGCAGGCGTCGAATTTTGGTGATTCGGTATCTTTGCGATCTCTCACTTTCTATGTGCTTGAGAGCATTGTCGACTAGTTCATCCACTCCTTCGGCGTCTGTGTGCAAATCATACGGACACCCTCCGCATAAGTTATCGTTAGTTCGGACAGCTACAAAGTCAGCGCTCTCCTGTCGTGGGTTGAGTGCCTCATTGCTCAGGTCCAACTAGAAAAACAACGTCATATATGCTTAACTTGCAAGGATGCTTTTTTCACTGGTTACCTTTTGGTCTCCAATAGCTTCACGCGTGCTGGCAATGGATTCGTCAGCTTCTTCCATTGTATTTTCCATTGTTGGACTGCACCTCACATCGCTCAGTACCATATAGGCACTGGAGTTAAGAGCATGAGGGCCCAAAAAAGCATTGCATATGAGGGCATGTTCATTGCAAGGTATTCCCGGGTAGTTGTTGTTACAGCTCACCTCCACTTCAACAGACACTTCTATAACGCTTCCCTGGAAGGGAAAAGTTTGTGAAAATGTCTAGCAATTTGGAGATAAAGCAACAATTGCCAGTCACCTTGAGCAGGCTTAATGGGCTGGCTTACATCCTACACCCATCGAACTTTTCATTTGCAAAGTAAACGCTCGATTCGAGTCTATTCGTTGAACTGATTTGCTCAATTGGATTCAGTTTTTAAGAGTTTCCTAAATATGTCATTGCGCCTATATGGCTCGAATTAGGCTCTATTAAAATTTAACAGGCCCACTTGTCTTTTTAAAAAGCGGAAGACCCGAACAGGGAACAAAGAATTAAAAAGCCGATGCTTGTTTTGAAGCCGCATGAATTCGAATAGTTGTACAAAATTCAAAATATTCATGTGAAATATTTAGTTATCAGTGGAGGCTACAATTAAGCTAATAATATAGCACATCTTGAGTGACCCCCTGCTATCTGAAGGTCTCGTTTGGATAACTAACACATATGCTAAAATTGTGAAATTGGAATAGTTTGGAAGTAGAAAACAGCAATACTTTAGTGTCGTTTTGAAATTTTGCTAACGATAATTGTCTATTATATTTAATGTATTATCACCGAGATTCATGTGAACAGTGATAAAGACCAGGACCTATGAAGGTTTTTTTTTGCGAAAAGCAGCACACACAGGAAAATCACTATTTTAATTTTCATTAAAAATCCATTAATGTGCTACTTTGGTCTTTGGAAAATATGAAATTAAATACTTGTAAATCGCCACCGCTATCAAAGTCACTAATTTGTCTTTGTGAGTTCGCTTTATTAGCGGAAATTGATGGGGTAAAAACGAAAGCCTGTTTGCGAAAATTCCCGACGTTATGCCTATTTCATTCACTAGCCCTGGGGATAAAAAATAAATATGGCGAAACGTCGGCAATAAAAGGTATTCAAGCTTCTGTTTTTTCAGCTAATAATAGAGTTGAATCGAGGGATAATGAAGTAGAATTGACACAAAGAAATGAAGTTGCAGTTTTTGCACTTTCCCAATTTCTTCACTCTGAAAGGAAGTTTGTGAGGCTAGGATTTGGGGCCCCCACCGTTGATTCAATCTACTAGTTTTCTTCGAAAATTAATGCAAAGAGAGATTGTCCACCTTGAATAGAGCAACAATCAAAACGTTCCTGTTCATCCCTCATCTCCTACCAAGTCATGATGTGCACCTTGCAGTTATGCAAATTACAGCCTTAACTTTAAATGGTCCCACATTTTAATACTGCTATTAATGAATGTTGGGGTCCATATTAGCAATGGAATGCGGTGATCCTTGGAGTCGAAGAGCTTTGTCAAGTTCACCTACGCACTTACCTTGTTTTCGGCACTTAACAAAGAGCCTCTATCGTAGTCGAAGACCTTATTGGGGTTGGCATTCAGGTGGTCTAAAACGGCTGAAATCAGGGGGTAAGTCTGTGCGCCCCTATCGCTCACTTGTCCGTCTGTGTCACTTTTCACAAGTAAAGCGCACAAAACCGCTGGAAGTAATACGATTTTTAGCAATGCCATGTCTACGGCTGCATCACTTTCAACTCTACTAAGACCGTGCTAAGACCGAAGTGATTCAGTCAAGTAATTTCTATAATTATATCTATTTTGATGCGCATTAAGGTTTTGTTTTTGTTTTGCGAACAGCTGATGGCCACTGGGGGATACAGCTCGCTGCTGTTGGCAATACAGACTTGAAAGTACGAGTACTGTTTGTTTTTCGTTAATTTCTATTTATTAAAACCGTAACCTAAACACATTTTACTTGGCGCTCTTGGCTTCACGGTTCGCTTTCCTCTGTGCAGCTACAGCCAGCTGCTTTTTGGTGCTCAAATTGTGCCTTTTTGAAAAGCGTTGGTTCTTCAAGAATTTAGCGTCCATCTAGAAAATATCACAGCTCTAAATCTTCACTGTGTTTCCAAATGGGCCTCGTAGAGCACTGGGATTTTAATTAAAACATGCGATACTTACACCTAAGGTAGATTCGTGCAAGAATCTCTTGGGTTTCTTGATGCCATTCCTGTGGGCTTTGCGGTCTAAAAACAAACGATTTGTTAAGAAACTATTTCTGTGAAAAGAGCTGACTTACTTTGGTTGTGGTTCGTGTGGTTCTTTGACTTGGCCATGGTTTTTTAGTCTAGAATTTCCAGAGCTGGAAAAGTAAACAAATATAGGTTATGCGTCGAGAAATTCAGACGGTTTAAAAGCGCAAATTTCAGGAAAACGCGATTGAAATCTCCAATTAAATCTTCCGTTGAAGGATTGTTTAATGTAAAAAATTAAAAATGGTTAGGGATGCTCCTGAAAAATTAAGATTTTCTTCAATACTCACCAAATGTTACCAAAGAAGATTTTAGGAGATCTAAAACAGGCTGTCAAAATTAGCCGGTGTTTGTCGACACCTTTCAATGCCCAGTGTGGCCAACAAAAAATTCCTCCTTGTGAGTGTTGTGTTGGTTAGTTTTGACACTTGAGTTTAGTTGAGAAAAAAACAATTTCTTTACCAGAGACAAGTACTTGTCCTTTACCAAATGGGACAGAAAAAACTCTTTAATTAGGCAATTTTGTTGTGCAGAAACAATCAACAATAGTGCAGGGTTACTAAACGCGAATATGTCGTCAACAGTCTAGCATTGTTGGATATGGACCTGGCATGGAATATCCTCTACAAGATTTCGATGTAGAAGAAGAGACTGATTTTCTGCTAGGGCAAACGAATCATGGAAATTGCGAAATGGATGTCCATACAGCGAAAAATAACCGAAACCCTATAAGGAGACGGAGTGTTGGAAGTGTTTTGTGCAGGTCAGTTGTTACGGTGACTATTTACTTATACATCGTTGAACACGCACAAGTAATTAAGAACACATTTATGTATCTACAGTCTAAGGCTTCCTTGAAGTATGAAAAGTCCTTAGAGCTTATTAGTTTTGATTCCATCTGCTGATAGCTAGCTTATATGTGATCGAATACCCGAAGCCTGTAATAAGGATTAATTATAAACAGCAACTACTTATCCTTGGTGATATATGAAAAAATCGCCACTATCTCTATTTGCTTAGTCTCCTGTTACATGGAGTGCTATTTAGATAACCCAGATGGGTTCCAAATTTCGCAAGTTTACTGCTGAACAAACATTAAAAAATCCGGCTTGAAGCAAACAAGCTTTGCAACTGGTTTGTTGTATGAGCAGAAGCATTCATGCCCGGGAAAACGTAAAGGAGGAGTGAAAATCTAAGCTCCCTTAACTTTAAACAAACCCATGGCCCTATTTTATTACGCCCTGTATACATGAACTTTGCAAACATTTATGAAAAGAGTTGTCCATTTGCAGTCAGTGGTTAAAATCGAAAATAGTGTGTAAATTTCGCTCAAATCAATTTTTTTGCCAACCATGTTAATGCAGAGGTAGGTTACTAATATCTGGTTAATGCAGGTATAAAAATAAACATTGCAACTTCAATCTTAAAACTGAAAGCAACTACTTGAAATTTACTCACTCTATAGAAGACATTTGAAGCTAAAACCTTAACAATCTCTGTCGAACAAAATCCTATCTAATCTACCAACATCCTGTAAATGATGCACCACAAATAGACAATCACACTCAACTGCACTCCGACATTCACCCGCTCACCCTATAGAAACCACTTGATTCTAAAAATGCGTCGAAATTTCACTCAAATCGTACGAGACTGATTTTTACAACCCTGTAAGTAAGTTGATAATCATAATCAACTGCTTAGTGAGAGTAAAGTTCCATTTTTTCTTGTGCCAGTGTTACTCTTAAACACTGTTGAACTTTTAAAAATACCCAACTAAATTATTCGTGTTTTTCCATACTAAAATGCCATTTTTCTCTTAAACGGTTAACATTAGCGCTCAAGACCAAAGGTTTTGCTTTAGGATCGAAATTAAGGAATTATTTTAAATTAAGGTAGAAATTTATGCTCTACATGGTGTCATGTTTTCTATCATAAAATGCCATTTTTCTGGTCTGTTGACATTAGAGTTTTAAACTAAGAGGTCCTTTTTGCATAGAAAATACCGGTCTTTCAAAGCGTGTGTAGGAGCTGGACGCAAAATTATCCAATTCAACCCTGAAATTTACGCCGCTGACACATAAAAACTTTGGGTTAACCATTATAAAGTAGCTTAAAAAATGTCTACTTTTTAATTTACCACTTACGCTCAATTGTTCATTTCAAATAGCTGCTGAGATGTGGTTGAAAAACAAAACTTTTTTAACACCCTGTATTGTCTTTAGAGTCTCTGTAGCTGAGGGTAGTTTTTGCAAGTTTTTTATTTGCATCTATTGTGGAACGAGCAGCATGAAGTTATGCCACTTCTCTTTGGTTCACACTGTATATTATCTTTTAAAAGGGTAACATTTTCACGAAACTTAAAAAAATAACAGATAATAAATAATTTAAAATTTATTCCTTCTTTGCTCTTCGCCCTGTATATATAGTTTGAAATTTCCTTGCTCAGCTCGATGAAAGCACTGTTGCCAATCCAATGAAGCCAAATCTACGACTCACAGTTGATCTGTTCCGTCTACTACTAGACGTTGAGTGACATTTCGTAACGTAAATAAATTCAGAGTTGTTCTGTGCGTAAATGATATCATAAAAGCCAAAACGATTAATTAGTTTGTGTAAATGTGAAAAATGTAATACACGTCTTGTGCAACTAAGTGCGTTAAACGAATACATTTAGAAAAAAATGGATGTTGAATCTCAAGGTGGTCTAACGAAGACGACAAAAGAGGACATTCCCCTTCTAACGAAGGCGCAGAAAGAATCGCCATTTAGGTAACAAACTACATTTCAACGGTTTTAGATAATTGCCCGTAAATCTCGAGGTAATTTTGCGCAGACGTAAAGTCCTAATGTTTATCAAAATTACTGATATTGCCACAATAAGATCTGAATGCAATGGCCTGACAACCCCATGTTTACAAAGTGTGTCACTCCTAGGCTTAACCGCTGATATAGTTTTAAAACTCAGATTGGTATCATGAGCTCACTAGAAATGTGGCATTTTATCTTGTTTTCATCTTTCGGGGCAATTTGCAATATCCTTCATCTCACACTACATACTGGAGTTCTAGTTCACATAACGTTGCGTTTAACTAACTCGATCTGTGATGGTTGCTCTTTGAATTATTCATATTTTGCCGAAAAACAGCGGCGTTTACGACGAAAAGCGTGCCTGTTGTATCTAAGGAAATGCAATTTATCTACTGCAGCATGTAGATAACAGTAACGATAGTTAGCGTTACTGTTAAAACATCCTTGTATGCTTGTTAAAGTATGAAGTTACTTGAGATCAAACACTCGCTTTATTATCATAATCATCATTTAAAAAAATACTCTGTCAGCGCCACTCACCGCACATTTTAATAATAACTTAAATGGAGATGCAGCCATATTTATTTAATCAAATATTAAAATACTTTAGCTTGGTTTACATGAATTCAAACATATTTTAATCCCAAGTTGTTAATCATACCCAGTTTCTTGTCAATTTGTTTGTCTCACACTCAATATAATTTACACTTAACCATTGAAGTATGTTCACAATGTTGTTTTGTTATAGCTGTTGGTGCAACATATTTAAAAGATGTTGCGGCCCGAAGGAATTAAAATCCCGGAACATCAACTTGGGAAAGTTGACGCCTGGTCAATTCCCTGCGAATGCGATAAGAAACCAAAAATACAACATCATCACGTTTCTACCCATGGTGCTTTATCAACAGTTTAAGTTCTTTTTGAACCTTTACTTTCTGATTATGGCAACGAGTCAATTTGTTCCGGACATACGAATTGGTTACCTCTATACCTATTGGGGCCCATTGGTAAGACGCCTACTACTCCCACAACCTCTTGGATTTTTTTAGTTAATTCCTTTATCTGTTCTTGTAGTGTTTTGTACTATTTATTACGATTTGCCGTGAAGCTATTGATGATCTCCGGCGACATAAACGAGACCAAGAAGTCAACAACCAAAAATGCAAAAGATTGCTAAATGATAGAAATAGGCCATATGAAATAGTGGCTGCCCACAAACTAAAGGTATTTAGCTCAAATGGCTTTATCATAAGGTTAATAATCTTACACTGCATTAATTCGTAGGTTGGTGATTTAATCATAGTAGATAAAGACGAAAGGGTACCCGCTGATCTAGTGCTGCTTAGAACGTCTGAAAGTAGCGGCACAGTGTTTGTCCGGACTGATCAGCTTGACGGTGAAACTGATTGGAAACTGAGGCTGGCTGTGCCAGCGACGCAGAAATTGGCAAATGATCATCAGCTCTTTGAAATATCTGCCGAACTCTATGCAGAGAAACCGCAGAAAGATATTCATTCGTTCATTGGCACTTTTAGCAGGGTAGGCAGTCTAGTGGTTAATGATTTTTTTCTAATTTACCAACATTTCAGATGGACTCAGTGAACACTGATGAAAGTTTGGATTTAGAAAACACTTTATGGACCAATTGCGTTATAGCGTCTGGCCAAGCTACCGGCGTAGTGATTTATACAGGTAAAACTTTGGGGAATTTTAGCCAATTTGGTGTTGAGAACTATTTTCGCTTTTAGGCCCCGAAACCAGATCCGTTATGAACAATTCCCAGCCAAGATCAAAAGTTGGCCTTTTAGACATCGAGGTCAATACCATTACCAAGCTTTTATTTGTGGCTGTTATTGGATTGGCGTTTTTGATGATCGTACTGAAAGGATTTAATGGGCCTTGGTACAGATATCTGTTCCGATTTGTACTGTTGTTTTCCTATATTATTCCCATAAGGTGATCTACCATTTTTATCCGTCCAAACTGTAAAGCGAACTGTATTTTGATTTTTCCACGACGCAGTTTGAGAGTGAATCTTGATATGGGCAAATCTTACTACTCGTGGTCGATTGGCAAAGATCCCCATATGAAAGGAACTGCAGTTCGTTGTACAACCATCCCTGAAGAGTTGGGAAGAATTTCTTATTTGCTATCGGATAAAACTGGGACTTTAACACAAAATTCGATGGTTTTGAAGCGATTGCATCTTGGGTCTGGCTGCTATGCTGGCGACAGTTTCGATGAGGTAAAATCAGGGTTGCCGCTCTCCATATATAATTCACATACATTTCATTATCTCACCGTTTTAGGTTACTGCCGTTTTAAGAACAGCTTATTTAAGCAGTGGGGAAAGTCCAATGTTGAATAACGGGGTTCCAACTCAGTTTAGACGATCGGAAACCACTCGGGTAAAAGATGCGGTTCAAGCATTAGCTCTCTGTCATAATGTGACGCCTACATACGAAAGTGACAATCATGATTCAGGTAAGTTAAGAAAGAAGAAGAAAGAAGGCATTGAAACATGATTGAATTATTTCAGGCTCAATTGCCTCTGAAACTGAAGCCGACCAGCATTTACAGGCCACTTCAATGGAAGTGATCTATCAAGCATCCAGTCCGGATGAAGTAGCTTTAGTCCATTGGACGCAAGAAGTTGGCCTTACTCTTTTCCGGAGAGACACGAATTCCATGCAGCTCAAAGCTCCAGATGGTCGCTTAATGAACTACGCCATTCTGCAAAATTTTCCTTTTACTAGTGAAACAAAGCGAATGGGGATAATTGTGAAGGTGAGTCTTAAAGATTGTTGTTAAACAAAACGGGTTGTTGAAAATTTGGGATTTTAGGATCTGACAACCGGCGAAATTCTATTTTATCTGAAAGGCGCTGATGTTGTTATGGCTGCTATTGTTCAGTACACCGATTGGCTGGATGAGGAAGTGGGAAACATGGCAAGGGATGGCTTACGCACTTTGGTGGTTGCTAAGAAAGTTCTTACTGAGGAGCAGTATTTTGACTTTGAGGTAAATTCACGGGATGATTTATTTCCCGGAAATAGTGACCAAAGGCTGAATAAATTTATTTATATTTATAGAAACGTTATAATGCTGCACGACTCTCCACTGTCGATAGAGTCACGAGGGTGTCTCAGGTGGTCGAATCTCTAGAGAGAGAAATGGAACTTTTGTGCATTACTGGAGTCGAAGATAAACTGCAGGATAATGTGAGGTGAGCATAAAGCCCTGAAAACATTCTACATAAAAATTGCTCATTATGTTAAATTATGCTTAAAAATAAATCTTCTGTTTAAGAACAACGTTAGAAGTCCTGAGAAACGCCGGCATTAAAATCTGGATGCTGACTGGTGATAAATTGGAGACTGCAACATGCATAGCCAAAAGTTCCCGATTAGTTTCCCGAACACAAGGTAATGTTTGTTGTTTAATTTAATCCCCGCAAAACTCGTATAAATGCGGTTTGCAGGTTTGCATGTGTTTAAGAAAGTTGTGACTCGCACTGACGCCCATTTAGAACTGAACGCATACAGGAAAAAGCAAGATTGTGCCTTGGTGATTAGCGGCGAAAGCTTAGAGGTTTGCCTGTCTTATTACCAGCAGGAATTCATGGAATTAGCGACAGCCGCACCGTCGGTTGTATGCTGTCGATGCTCTCCTACACAGAAAGCCCAAGTGGTAAGCAATAATTTTGTTGAAACTGGTGAGTTTTTCGGGCTGTTAGCACGTCGGTTTTTTATTGACGTTTCACAAACACACAAAAACTCACCGGTATCAAGCAGTGGGCGCCAAATCGCAACTCTTGAATATAATTTATTTCTTAATCTCCTCAGTCTTCTGGTAAACCCTCTTTTTTGTAGGTTCAACTAATACAGCAACATACAGGAAAGCGTACAGCAGCTGTAGGTGATGGCGGTAACGATGTCAGTATGATTCAGCAAGCGGATGCAGGCATCGGAATTGAAGGGCGTGAAGGGAAACAGGCAAGTTTGGCTGGGGATTTCAGGTAATTATTCATCATATTAACATCATCTGAAACACTATAAATGCCCTTTTCTATAGTATTCCACAGTTTTCGCATCTGGCGCGGCTTCTTCTCGTGCATGGCCGAAAATCTTATAAAAGATCGGCTTCTTTATCGCAATTCGTTATTCATAGAGGCTTAATTATATCGACCATGCAGGCGGTTTTCAGTAGTGTATTCTACTTGAGTTCGGTCGCACTTTATCAAGGCTTTTTAATGGTAGGCTACGCCACAGTTTACACAATGTTTCCAGTAAGTTTTCTGTTGGTCCAATTCCCCCAGGCCTGTTGACTGAAGGTGTTTTGCAGGTATTCAGCTTAGTTTTAGACCAAGATGTTAGCCCAGAAATTGCACTTACATATCCCGAGCTTTATAAAGACCTGGCAAAAGGAAGAAGTTTGTCTTATAAAACATTTTTCATATGGGTGCTGGTGTCAATTTATCAGGGTAAGTAATGCAAACTGGTGTTTTTTTAGAGAAATACCCATCTTATGTAATGGTTTGAAAGTTTAAAGCTTTAATCATTAACTGTATAATTTCGTTTCAGGAGGTGTAATAATGTATGGAGCACTGTTACTCTTCGAAGACGAGTTTATTCACATCGTAGCCATTAGTTTTACATCACTAATTTTAACGGAACTTATCATGGTAGCCCTCAACATCAGGACCTGGCATTGCCTGATGATTCTGGCAGAATTTTTCTCTCTGGCTCTTTATGGCTTGTCCCTGATTATTCTCCACGATTATTTTGGTAAGTAGTTCATTCCCATTTAGAATTATTAGGGTGATTAATTAACGCGTGAATTACAGATGCTGAATTCATCAAAACGTTGGATTTCTTATGGAAAGTAACCGGAATAACACTAATATCATGCTTGCCACTTTACATTCTAAAATTCTTACGAAAGAAATTCTCTCCCCCAAGTTACACTAAACTATCATAATCTTTCAAATGTGATAATTACGACTCAAAGTTTCAAAATGACAAATCGTCAGATATTTTTCGATTAACGTTAATTTAAAGGTAACGCTAAGGGTAACATCAATTATCGGCAATTCTCTACTAAACCAAAAAAAGTACATTTATGTTATGGCATTTGTATCATAGTATGCTAGTTTATTGAATATTAATTTTTGTCTTTTCTCCGATTACCTAACCGAACGACTCGCAATATAGCAAATAGTCAATGATGTTAGGCTTTTTTTATTTATTCTGAATAGAAGATTCTATATCTAGATAGATGTTAGTATATTTTATTGATTACTACTAACATATGTTGTTAATTATACATTTTATTAATTTATTAGAACAATAACGTAAAGGAAATAGTATTATTTAACCTGAGCTATGGATGTCCATGCAATCCGCTTTAGCTTCGCGGGAAAAACCAACCGTGTAAACATCTCGGAACAGGACTGTCTGTTTGGAATTCAGTTCTTCCAATTTCCTCAAAAGTTCGCGCATCAATGATCAAAAGACCCACGTGATTGGTTTCTCCATGTCCTCGCAAGATAATTGATAGAATAAGTCCGTCGTCTTCAGTCTGAAAATCGAATTTATTTGCAGGTAAACAATTTATTAAATAAAGTGCTTTTAAGACCCACCTTAGCTTGGGGCGATGGGACAAAGATTGGTTCTCCTGGGAAACAATTTTCTTGCTGCCAAGTTCGGCACGTTTTTTCTTTTGTGTCTACTTTGATAATCGCTCCTGGATTTTCCGCGTCTACATCTGAACTGATTGCGTAGAAATATCGGTATTTTCGCCCTGGAAAATTAATCTTTTATGAACCTTTAGACTTGATTAAACGTGCGTGTACTTTTGCCTTACCTGAGTATCTTTCATAGTAAATTCGTGGGGTTTCGCAACCCAAATTGCAGAGTTTTTCTGCTTTAACATGAATATTGCCATTTGGTAGGTAGATTGCAAGAGCTTGAGTATTTCTCAAGGTTATTAAATTGGATTCGCCTGCGATTTGTTGAGATTGCGGGTTTAGTGGCAGAACGAAGCGAATCGGTCGTCCTCTGAACATTTTTGCGTAGTCTGGGTTTGATTGCATATTCTGAAATATTTGAAGTGGCATTGGAGTTTTGCCATTTAATTCTACTTGCCTTCAGAGTTTCAACGTACATACAGTCGAGCATTGAAGGATCTCTGTAAGCACATACATCTATAACAACATGACCGGAGTCTTCATATTGATTGATAATATGAAGAAAGAAAAAAGTTTCTGCTTGAAACGTTCGCACTATCTCTCCAGTCTTCCTCGATACCACATTGACTTGGGTCTAAAATAAATTTATTTCCGAGAAGGCGCTTTTCCAGTTTGGAACACCTAATTTCAAACTCACATATTCATTGCCGTACCATCGGAAGGCCCCAGAGAGAGGTTCGTTTTGCACTTTAAGAGCTAAAGTTGCGGGGATCGATAAGCTTAAAGGTTGCTCCACTATCACAAAGTATTTGTCTGTTATTCCTGCAAAATATCTATGAAATTAAAAATGATACGCATCGGGGGATTAAGATACCAAAAGTATGCATGTATGAAGGATGTAAAGGCCATCTTGCGGGTATTGAAGCCACGATTTTGGCGTTATCGAACATTGATTGATCTGAATCTGTTAAATATGTTGATTAATTTTCTCTTTTAATGTTGATTCTTTGTAAATTAATACCTTCCAGCGTCTTTGGGAAGCATACGACTGAATGGTAAGGCCCTGATGCGTGTAGTGATAATCCCAAGTTGTACACACTGGCTTAAGTCGAACAGAAATTACGCTTTTTGGAAAGAGCAAATAATGGTACTTACAATTTTCCATAATATGTGGATGCGAAGTGTGGATCACTATGTTTATTTGGTCGTGTAAATCAACTCGATCCAAGGTTTCCAGGCTTTGCAAATCGATTTTGTGGATGAAAGGCATTTCGCCATAAGCATACACTTGGTCTCCGAATGGATAAATCGACACCAAGGAATTATCCGAGGCCGATGCATTTAGACTGAACATCGTACTAATCCTGAATGTTAACTTAACTAGCTTAAATGCAATTTTAACATTATTCACTAAAATATTCAGTTTACCGTTGAAAGATGCTCTGGCAGGGATCTGTTACTGCTTTGGTTCCAAATTCTGTGATTATTAGGCGGTTTGCGTTGCAGGTTTTCTTGTATATTTCGGATTGCAGAAATCGGCATTGATAAGTTACGTTGCCATTATTTATTCCAAACCTAACAGAATAAATAGGAAGACGTTTTGCAATTTTCTGAGCAGTTTGTCTTGAAAATGGTTCTTTACCGATGCAATAAAGCTGAGCCATCAAAGATATGTTGAAACTCGTTTTCACCCGCTTGAAGGGTTCCGGGACCATTTCTCAGCAAAGTTCCATTCAGCCAAGTCGGTATTTTACCTGAAATCAAATTTTAAATTAAATTGTCTTCGTCAAAGATTTTCTAATTATTTACCTTTGGTTTCACCTTGTAAAGGTTCAGTGACTTCCTGCTTGCAAGACCTTAGCCAGATTTCAGAGTCGCAGTTTGGATAATACGGCTCTTTATTACCGCTGTTTTGCGATGGTTGAGTCTACAACAGCTCAAAGCATATTTTATGTTCTTTCTTGTACTGTATAATCAGAGACATTCTTCGTCTCTGGTATAACTACCTGATTTTTTTCGGTAAAAGCCAACTTTCTCTTCGCAGGTAACGGTGACCAGGTAAATGCTTGGGAACTCGTTACGCGTTCAAGTTTTTCACTTAAAACCGTTTTCGGTTTAGAAGACATTTCTTCGTTTAACTAACGACTCTGGTAGAACGGGAGTATATTTCTTAATTAGATTTTCAATTCTAGGGCAAAAATTAGTCGGAAGCAGCCTATGTAATCAATACAGGCTAATCCAATGAGTAAATCCTATTTAAACTTAGATTTAAATAAATATCAGCTGAAAATAGTAGTTCGTAGAAATATAATTAGTTAGTCCGTACTAGAATAATGTTGTTTTAAAACAGTTACATAAATTGTTGGAAAACATATGGGAAATAAGTAAAGGAACAGCGACCAAACAAAAATATAACAAAATTATTTATTAATAATTTACAAATTCTTACGAGTAATACATTTCTATCTTAACTCCCTTTTGAATACTTCTTCCAGAACTTCTTCACGTCGTCATGTGCATTTTTGTTTATCACCAGTGTTCGTTTCTCTTTGTTGCACCAGATTAGGACACCGTTTGACTGCGCGTACTCTTTCAAGACGTTGAAGTCGGCCTAATTTAAAAAAAACGTTGATTCATAAAAACTCGAGCTTTCCTATGCCTTTTCCAGTAGCTCACCTGAGACAAGAACTGGCTGTAGAGCACGCCTTCGTTATAAGTCAATCGGTTTCTCTCAAGCTCCCAGAGCTTAATTTGATCAACCACTGTCGGAGGAAGCGGCTGTTTTGTGTCCGCTGTTAACATTCGTTCATGAGCATGTTGCTTGAGGTAGCCGATTATTTGGTCTGCGGTTATTCCACCGCGAAGAGCCTGTCTTATAGAATCACGAGTTATCACACCTACTACTAAGTTTGGAAACCTGAAAATGTTAAGTAAGTTTAATGAAAATCACATTTCGAACTTAAGTTAGGTTGTTCTTCTTCACTCTCCTCCCTCACTTTATTCACAGTCTGTGTTGCCTAACATTTCGTTTGCAAGGGGAAAAATTGTGCCCGAAGTAATCAATTGGCTTACCTATACATTAGTTCAGTAAACAAGGCTATTAGCGCAACTTGTAAATTAGAATCTGTGTACGCATAAACCCTGTAATTTGTTTCAACGACAATGTACCCTTTAGGCGAATCTTCTTCGAGGATTGGAGCATTCTTGTTCTGGCTATTCGTTATGTTTAAGGCTAGTCTTGTTGGATAGAAACGTCCAGCTTTACGCTAAAAATAAATTTGCATGTTTGAGAAATCTGGTGACTAGCAAGAGTCAACTCACCTTTCTTTGATAGACTAAACCAAATTCCCTTAAATGTTGCAAGAAGATTAATAGGCCGGGGCTCAAACCTTCTGTGCTGTAATCCTGAAAAAAATAGCGTTAGTACTATATGGAAGATTTATATACAACAAAAATGTACCTTTCCTAATGTGCTGAAACTTAACTGAAAGAGAAATGTGAGACATTCAACCAAGTCTAATCCTCTTTGCTGAACAGTATCGAGATACTGTAGAAGAAAATGCCAAACTTGTGCATGTCGATCAAGCAGTAGGAACTGAAATCCTTGCCTCGTTATCACAGGACTGCCGTCTTCTTCATCTCTGAACAATATAGACAATGCGTTAACAACATTCAGACTAGTAGGCTAAAATGTACCTTTTCATGAGCCCAGCATGAAGGAGGATTCTGACGGCATCTGCAGAAATGCCTTCTTGTTGTTGGGAGCCGACCATGTAATGAAGCACGCACTCCCATCTCTCCGAAGAGTATGAGTCCAAAAACCCAACGTCTCTAGCATTTTTGTCAGCATCAAGAGCTGATGACATACTCCATGGTTTTCCACTGAAAATCGCCAATTTTAACCTTGATATTAGGTCACGGTTTGCTTCGAACTCACCCACCCAACAAGGCAGCCTTTAGGTTCTTTTTAAAAGTTGGAGACAGCATCCAGCCAATTAGGCCTCCTGGTAGAGAGTCCTCGATCCACACATTTAAATCAGTAAGTACTTTGGTCACATAATTGTGTTCCCTGCAATGATTTCGTGTTAAACAACTCGTTTAATGGTTAGTGAATTTGAGCATTTACTTAGAAGATGCTTGACTGCCCCACGACGCTACCACAGCCTGAGGTACTGGTTGCTCTACAAACAGTATCCTTATCACATATTGCCTGGCCAACTCCGGAAGTTCCCTGAAACCAATATTTAAATCTTATGCTTTCTGCTCAAGCTACATTCCAAGTTAGCTTACCTGTAAACTGCTAAACAGATAGCAGGGTGGTTATACAATCTGTCTAACACATTTTGGGGCTGATTCTTCAAATATTCATAGAGATTCTTACACTCCAAATTAGTTTGAGTAATAAGCGACGAGTTATCCTGCTTCGAACTTCCTATACCATTATTGGCCATTTAAATTCGTATTAAATGAGTTCTGATCGTTGGGGTGGCCTTAATTCTTCTCAGGACCATTTAGAGGTTAGCAAATTTTAATACCGAATGTTTACAGGAGATGGGCAATACACTACTAGCAAACCTGTTTCCACTAACTAAATTTATTATTACTAAAAATTGCAGTTAAAAATGACTTAAAAATATATATAATATTATTGTTGCAGCGAAAAGACAAATGCACAGACTGACAAATGAATGACCATAGATGCACAAAATATCCCCCCTGTGGTTCTGTGCATAGATGAAGACAAGTATAGATAGCTTACTCCCTTGCACAAAATGATAACAAGGTTTTTACTGACACTGTCGCCATCTATTAGCTGCTTCCAACTCTCTAACGTCATTGCCTCAAAATACCTCCCCTGCCCCGGATGATCTG